AAAAAATCCGGAGCTTTGGTCTGACCAGAGACCGAATATATATTTTTTTGGCCTTAATAGAGATCATCAATCAAACCCCGCCGGCTAATGGCCACAGAGTAATGCATTCCCTTTCAGACATTCCCAGTGCCATCTGTTAATTACATTATTTATTTATTGGACTTCTAGAGATCGTGTTATGTTTATTATGATTATTTATCAATACATGCTTTTAATTTTCACCTCCTATTAAACGAGTAAATACAGGTAAACATTAGAAAAAATGGCGGGGAAAACTTTGAGTGAGTGATTAACCAAGGCAAGACGCCCCAGCCCTATTTAAGACGTCTTGGTTTATCATTCAACAAAAACCAACAGATACAATAAAACGTTCCTATTAAATCTAAAAGCGCGTTTGTACTTATTCGGTTATGTTGGTGAGGCTACTGGTTCTTGATTTTCGTAGCTAGCTAAACGACTTTTTGACTCAAGTCAAAATTCTGAAATTAATGAAGGCGTCTTACCCTTACGAAGAGCTGCGAGTTGTTAAGTGCTTACCGGGCGTAATGGAAAATAAACGAGACAGATGTATAATGTATAATGTACCATGTATAATTAAGTTGCGTACATCAAAATGAGAGCTGCTCTTTTGCAGGTGGACTTGTGGCCTCCTGCGGTGTTTGAATCATTCATTGGATTAATAGTTCTAAGGGGTTTTCAGCGGAGGGAAAAATTAGCAGTATTTTCAATTGTAATTTCAAAAAGCAATAACATTTTCAAAAAGCCACATTTCTATGCCTATTCAGCCATTTACCAACTTTCAAAATACCGATCCTGAATAGAAAAATAAAAATATATAACTAAGGTATATTTTCAGTCAGCCAGTACAGTAACTCTTGAATTTACTTTCTTGTAAATAAAACCTAGAAAGTAGAGTAGAGAATTATGTTAATCCCCCAAAAAACATGGATGCAATGCGCTGGTTTTTAAATGTTTCGCTTTCTTTTAACAAGAACATTGAAAGTTGAGGATTATATCAGCAGAGCGCGGGGATCTTGTGCTAGTTTTCATACAATGGTTATCTCACACTCTGTTTTATATATCTCATGAATCTGCGGTAAAAGGAAAGTAGAGAATTTTCTTAAATGCAAAAGAACATGGATATAATAGATGTAATGTGCTTGTTGTTTTTACACTCTGGCGTTCAGAGGAAGGTGCGTCTCTCACGACTATTAACTCCCCTTGTTTATTGTTTTGATGTTGTACATGATTTCAAACATAATTACATATTGTTTCGGTTTGCGGTAACGCCATGTGGTATTAACTGCTCAGTGATATTTAGTTCTGAAAAGAACTAGTCCTGCCTATTATCAATTTTCTCTAATTAGTTTAATTCTGATAAGAACAGTCTCCTGACGATGACTAGAGCAGGCTAGTTGAAACGTTGAGACTAAAGAGAAGTTCTTTAAGAACTAGGATTGCTCTTATCAGAACTAAAGCTATTTAGCGGAAGTTGATAGTAAACTGGACAAATTCTTTTCAGAACGAAATATCTAAACAAATAACCACATGGTGTTACCACAAACCGAAACGCTACCGATACTCCACCATGCAAAGCCTGCAATCTTAAATAATGCTCCAGAATTTATCAGTGTTTGCCACATTCACGTGACTGATCTTTAACCCACGTTAGTGGACCATAGTTGACCTTGACTATAGTTGACTTTTCGTGACCAGCCTACCAATATAATATCTGGCGCTTCACAATAACAAACAGTGAGCCAAGAAATTGCATGGTGACGATCGTCATTTGACTATGGACACATTCGTATGTTACTAAATAATGCGCATGCGTAAGTCACGACACAAATCTACCACTAGTTATCACCATGGGCTCCGTGTGCCAACGAAAGAGGGCGCCCTTTTAACTAGCAACGACGTCCCATGGGCGGGACATTTAGCTGGTTGACGCTCACCGTTCCTTGTGTGTGACGCACGTACACCAGGTGATTTGTACAATAAACACGCAGTGTTACGTACGGCCGCGCGTCGCGGCAAATTATTGCAGTCAGGCAAGATGGCGTCGGTCGGTCACCCCCAACTGTGCTTTCTTTGCCGGTGAGGGGGTACTTGTGAACGGAGCAGATAACCACGATCGAACTTGTTCTTGTATTTTGGTTCCTTGCAGAGTCGCTCGACTGCTCTGTTTGTGCCACAAATGTCACAGGGACACCAACTACAAACGAGCATCGGGCCAAAGCTGGCCCTCCAGGAGCTGCGCTGTCGCTACCCTGCCGTGCCTTCGGAGGCAAAACAGGTACAATTAGCCATTTGATTCAAACCGTAAGCCTATCATCATTTCTGATATGAATCCTTTGGTTTCAAATGCAACTTGATTGCTTTGAGATGAAAATTAATTGAACATGCTTTTAGGATTTTGGCATTTGTTTTCAGGATCCCAGCCTTTTGTTCATTCAGAAAATAATTGTGCATGGTCACACCGTTAACTCAGAAAGGTATAATTTTGAGAATTATGATTAGTGCCTAGCACATAAGGAACGTTTTGCTAAGCAGCGTCATGATGGTTGCCCTATAGTGCAGTCATTACAACAAAATTAAAATGACAAATAACACCCGAAAGAGGTTGCCAAACGCACAGGTTTATAGACCATGTGACATCATAGGCGGTTGTTGTGGTCGTGTGATGCTAGCTTTTAGCAAACGATTGTTCTTCTGCGCTTCTTCTTCATGCTTAAATGTTTGGGTTGCCCAGCGGCGAATGTTTTTTTCCAAACAACATATCTGTTTGCCATCTGATTGGTCTATTACATTTGCATATAGAATGCCCTTTTCTCCAGAACACAAACCCAAGATAAGCTTTACGTCTTGTGAGAAATGTTCCTTCATCACTTAAGTAATTTAAAATGTAAACTGAGAAGAAGTGAAAAACGCTCACTGAGATTCGAACACGGATCACCTGATTAGAAGTCAGGACTACTTCCAACCAGACCACGAATCAGCTGCCAATCGTCGGTTATTCAAACACCATTATTTCTTGTTATAACTTATTCTGATATGCAAAATGCAGAGAGAGAGCGCCCTCTTTTGATATTGTCCGATCTCGTTTGGGATGACGTCACAGGGCACGTGATCTATAGCCGATGTCGTAACTTTGGACACCTGTTTTATCCCCTTTGGCATTCTAATTTGTTTTCTTTTTCTTTCACCTATAAGCTGCCTTGGCAGTGGTGCTTGCAAGCAGGCTAACCGATATGTCATCGGCCCCACCAATCACCAACGACACGGGGCTAGATACCAGCCGGGCTGATGATATCATCCAAGTCACAGATGCCGTGTCCATCTCCCTTGCTGCAAGAGACACTGACAAGGGATCATTCGACTTTCACGACAATCCGATCGAGTTGGAACTTCTGCACAATCAGGTAGGTGTAGTAATGCAACTTTCGAATTTTCTGGCCAGTTCATTTTCTATTTACAGATTTGAAATGTTTGTAGCACCCGTGGTATGATTCGTTTCCACCCTTCTTAAAGTTCTTGGTCAGCTTGACCCTGAATCCAGGTTCCAGTTGGCCCGACAATTTTTGGGTCATTGACACATCTCTGGGTGAAAAAATGACACGCTTGCCAAGATTTCCGGGTCGACCTGACCAGGAAAATGAGTCAAAAAAGTTTCATTTTGACCCGCAAAGTGCAATATTGACCCTGAAAAGCTTCAGTTTAATGTGAACACGGATTCCTGGTGAATCTTATAGTTATAGCTTCAGAGCAACCCCCTTCTCATTTCCAACAGTTTAATGTAAATCTCTCTACGCGTAGCACGATTGACCCAGTGCAGTTTTCTCGGCGTTTCCGGTTTTGTTTGTTTTTGGGTTTTGGGTGTTTTTTTTTCCTCAGTAGAACAAAGCGTATTTCCAGTAATTTTATTCCCCATCATCTTGCCTCTTGAACAAAGCCATCTTTTATGTCCTCTGAATACACTTATTTTCATTAGCATGATGGTTCATTGTAACGCAGGGTACCACAGTGGTCGTCCTATACAAAATAAAAAATTACAAACCCAAAACTATAGCAAAAGCCAGATGAAATGTTTCTTCAGTAACTATATACACCATTTATTTCATCTTCCGGACGCCTTGACTTTTATCACAAAACAAATTTCATTCGAATCTCGGGTGATTGTCATTTTACGCACTTGTGGTCCTTAATGAGGCCAGGGTTTGTTAGCGACATTCAGTGACGAATACAGTACAAAGTGTCCACTCTTTCCCATTACATAAAGATCTGCCCTCATGACGTCCGATGCACGGAGGCTATTGTTAGTGATTTTAAAAACAAAGAAAAGAGTATGTTTCTTTTCTGAATTAAATTATAAAAGTATATCACTTTGTACAAACATTTCCTTTGATGTCTATCCTTTTGAAACCACATATTTCCTCTCCTTTGGTATACCTTATATTCCCTCACAGTTTGAATAGTAAATGACCGCAGCGTATTTCCAGTAATTTCATTCCCATCATCTTGCCCTTGAACAAAGCCATCGTTTATGTCCTCTGAATAGACTTATTTTCACTTTGTACAAATATTTCCCTTTGATGTCTATCCTTTCGAAACCACATATTTCCTCTCCTTTGGTATACCTCATATTCCCTGGCTGTGCGTAACCTTGTATCTAATGTTTACTAACATCCATTCAAAACTTAAGCATAACTGATATTGTTTTAGGGTTTGAGAAGACTTCTGAAATCATTTGTTGGCAGAAACAATAAGAGCAACAATAATGAATATGAATTAAATAAAAGTGGGGCGCATTGTTTTAGAGACGTTATTATTTGCCGCATTTTTAAATGCCATCACTCCCTTGATCATTGTGCTGTGTCCAACTTCAAATGAACATTCTCCCTGTAATAATCGTCTGTTCACGAATACCTAATATCGGGATAGTTCTTCATGTCTTGCACAATTTTCTAAGCTTTCCGACGTTAGCATGAATTATTTTTCGTTGCGGGATCATTCACAACACTCCGTGTTTTGATGAGTATTAATATTCTGTTCTACTTATGATATTCAACATTTATGGTGCCATGTAATTTTATATGCCCTCATTAGCAAGTTCACACTCGATGAAAAATCTTGACAGAGTTCTGATCAGCCACTACTAGTTCACCGCTTGGAGAAAAGGTAATGCCCCATGGCCAATGCAATGGTTTCGCCACACAATCAACGTAGACCCCCTTTGAATCATAGTGGCGCACTTCACTGCTCCCTCCGCGTCTACCACAGTGAAGGGTAACATAGATGTCACCTTCATCATCACAGCATACACCGGTTGGTTTCGCATCTTTTCCATCTGCAGACGTGCTGACATTGAACAACTCTTTTCCGTTCAGATCTACGCATCGTAATTCACTTCTGCCAAACATTGCAAAAATGAGACATCCTTTGTTGTTCGCGACAATGTCAATGGGAACCATTTCAGTATTTGGAATGACCTTGATCAAAGATCCGTCTAGATTGTGGAGAGATGTGACTCCTGTCTTCTTGTAAACTACCGCTACCTGATTCTTATTGTCAACAGTGACACCACCGGTGTAAGTCAAACTGCATGACTGATCCTTGCTATCGGCCTGCGGTAGGTTGAACTTCGAAATCAACTGATGGCTCGTATCAAAAACTTTTACGTGATCTTCGCAGTGTGCCAGAAGTACATCATCGGACGTTACAGCAATACCGTATGGTGCGTTCAGATCAAAGTTTGCTTTTAAATTTCCAGTTGAGGTGAATACAGATACTCGTTTATTTTTTACATCGTTAGCAGCAATGTCGCCATTGCTGAAGCACGCAATGCCCATTGCACAGTTGAATTCACCGTCCCCGTCTCCTCTCTTCCCAAACTCAGTCTTTAACTTCCATTTCCCTCCATGAAGTATTTCACCTAGATCTTTATCGCTCACAACGTCTTGGCATTTGACTCCGATGAAAGAGTCACCATGTTTCACTCGCTCAAACTTGAGATCTTTCTGGAATTCCAAGTTGTGCATCACCTTTGGCTTCAAATTCAAGAGTTCGAAGTCGTCAGCTTGTTTCATCAAGTCGGTCACTGTTGCCTCGATCTCCTCTGCTTGTTCCATCTTCTTCTTGTTGTTGGTGTGAACTTTAACAAACTCATCATCTCTCTTCTTGCCAATTTCAGTGACGTTGTCTATGAGAAGTTGAGACTTCCTCTCGATTTTGGCAATTTCTTCTTCTTTCTTAGCTTGAATGTCGCTGCAGGCCTGGGTCACCATTATTTGTAGCCTGTTTCTGGCCTGCTCAACCGATTCCTCATTAGCTTTGAATTCCTCTTTGCTCTTCTGAAACTTCTGCATGACATCATTCACTTCTTGACGATAGGATTTGACGGCGTCGGTAATTTCACTCAACTGGTGGTCAGCCGATCGGTGGTCGATCGTGGCGCATGTGCCACACTTCATCATCTTGCACGTCTCGCAGTAAAAATGCATCTCCTGGTTAGCGTGCTTCTGACATTTCGGAGAATACGTCTTGCTGAGATCTGTCGAAGGAACCTCCTTCTGCTCTAGGTGTTCAACCGGTGTGACCCGATGTGTCTGGGTGCGTTTGGAGCGTTTGTGCGCTGTCTTGCATAGCTGGCACAGATATCCCTCGCAGTCCAGGCATCGCGAGACAGCCTCTAACCCCTCCTCACAGTCGTCACACGTCGGTGAAGTCGCTGCTTGCTGCTGGGTCTCCAGCGACCGCTCCTGCTGGTTGATCTCGTCCACCAGGGAACTCAAGAAGAAACAATCGAGTAGACCGGGCAAGCCAGCATCCGGCACCGGGGTTTCCTTCCTACAGACCGGGCATGTGATCTTGCCTGTACTCGGCTGCTGTTTGCTCAACATCCCATCCAGACAGTTGAGGCAGAAGGTGTGGAGACAGTCCAGTATCTTGGGATCTTTGTACCGACAGAAGCAGATGGGACATTCCAGGTGACCCTGGCTTATCTCACCTAACATGGTTTTGGCTGTGGCCTCGGCCATCCTCAGCTGGTTATCTCCCACCAACCTGCCAATATAGAATGGAATATCCTACATGATTGCAAGTAAATAATATAGAATCAAGCATCCTGTAAAATCGTTGGGCCTAGTGTGTTGTCATTTTCATGAAAAGAGGAACGTGTATCATTTCCTTGCGATAACAGCTTTCCCCCAAATACTACCCTTAATAAACCGAATATAGTTTTGTTTGCATTCGATTAAATACATTTTGTTTTACTAAGCCTACATATCCCTATCAACACTATGTTTTTTTGCTCTATTTTCGTTGTCAAATTTTCATAAAATCTGGCAGAAGGTTTGAGGATTTTCCCCCATTTTTTTTTCTCAAACAATCTTTTTTGGTATAGTGCTTTCAACTTATCAATTATTATAAACAAACCTACCTTTTGATAAAAAAATATCGCACGCAATCAGCTTCGGTGTGGCATGCAAGGGACTCCTTACTCTTTCAATCTGAATGAATGGAGACATAACATAGAATTGATCAATGGAAATACATATTCATAAAATTGGCCTGTCGTGGGTGTCATCAAAATCAAAAACTTGGGAATTTCAGGCACTAGACGAGCACTCAGAAGACAGTGTCTGGTTCAGTTCTTATTACAGGACCTCACTTTTTATGTCGGTACCGCAGCACGAAAATGAGACTGTGGAGAAATGACTTATGATAGTGATTTGTTGTTGATCATTCACAAATTTGGCCAACAGAGGGCGCTCGCCTACTCACCGTTAAATTGCCAAAAGCTGGCCTCCCAGGTGTGTGCACAATATTCTAAAAATAGAACGTGTATCCATGCAGCGCAGGGATATGTCTGCAAAGACTGGCATTCGGTGTCGTGTAAGATAATATAGGGCCTCATTAATGATTGTTTGGTGCTTATAAAAGACTGTATCTTACATAATTTGGTAGTTAAGTATACTCTTTGTATATTACTAAGGTTCTTTAGAGTGATACAAAAGCTGTTTATTCTAAGAGAAGGGAGAGGTAACCCAGACAGCGGTAAACAGGCTTCGCGGGGCAGTGCTCCGGAACTATACTAGTGAAAACGAGAAGAATAGAAATCTGTGTCAGTCACGGGAAGAGATGAGAGGAATGGTCTCCGAGTTGGGGAAAATACAGAGATAAATCCCCCGAATACCACTGGAAATCATGATGAAAGCTACTGTTTGTCGTGCTTAGCCTGGTGCAGCGACTGGCTACCTCCTTCCCTTCGACCCTGAGCAACCAATGAAGACGAATGAACATTAATTAATGAATAAATAATCAGTGATTCTCCGGTGAAACTTAATCTCCGCTGTGTGTGTGTGTGTATGTCAACTCGCCCCCAACGAGACTCAAGCCCCACGGCGCTACTCCGCGCTCACTACAAATTGGTAACACGGATGGGGTGTTTGTAGTTATTCTTCGGCGGGACTATAGTTTTGCAGATGCTGCGGGGTCATCATCAAGCCATCGGACTGGTTCTCTTGGCCGTGTTTGGTGAGTGCAGACGACTGGGACTCGATCAAAAGTTGAAGATTTCGCCACAGTCATCGGGCGTGCGACCGCACGCTGTGGGTGTGTGACGGGGAGCGAGTCCAGGAGCGACACGGTGTGCAGCCGGAGATCGCGTCGGATGCATGGTCCAACGGTGTTGATGAGCGACGGTGCAGACGGGCTATTCAAGCATCAGTGGTTCTACCCGGAGGAGTTGTGTTGAAGTGGAGAAATGCACCGGAGACGGAGTCGACAATGAACTGTTTAATAGCGGTATTGTTCATTGTTAATTAGGCCCAATTGACATTGATTTTCTTAGTGTGTGCGTTTAATTTCATGGGAATTGTGTATTAGCGGGTACTGTTTGAATGTGGGGTAAATTCATTCAAGGTTATGTGCATGCATACACGGTTAAGGGGCCAGTAATTGTGTAGTTCAGACAGTTGTTGCGTGGCAGTCTGTGTGGGCTTGGTAGTTTCCCATTAATTTTTTTTTGGGGGGGGGTCCTTTCTGGCTTTGATACTTGATTTTGTGTGCGCTGTGGACTTGCGCGTGTGTGTAGCTAGGATAGTTCAGACAACTATGGCAACGGAGGCGAGTTTAATGACTCAGTTAGTCTCGGAACTAGCGAACGCGTTAAAACAGAATAGTACCACCAGGGAACGACCGATCAAACTTGAGCGGTTTAAGGGAAAGCCAGTGAGGGCAGGAGACCCGACTCTGAAGGAGTGGTTAGAGGAAGTTGATATTTACTGTAGGCAGTGCAACATCCCAGAGAAGGGGAAGGCTCAAGTGATAGTTGATCATTTGGCTGGACCTGCGCGAGTAGAAGTAAAAAGTAGGGAAGATGTTAAATCCAATCACTCGCTCTTGATTAAACTGCTTTATAACCAGTTTGGGGGAGGGGAGACACTACAGTCCCTTCAGAAGGTTTTCTTTGAAAGAGGACAATTAGAAGATGAGTCCCTGATGGATTTCTCCCGTGCCTTAATTAGGATGTATGAGAGAATTTTGCGCATAGCTCCCCAAGATGAGAGAGATTCCTTAGGAAAACTGAAGGACAAAACTCTTATCAATCAGTTTGTGGCAGGAGCGCGCGGACAAAGCGCACGATTTGAGCTGAAGAGATTGCAGCTGTCTAACTCTGGCCAAACCTTTAACCATTTCAGAGATGCCGCACTGGAATTGTTCAAAGATTTCGAAGTCGCTACCAAGGCTAAACACAGTCATGTGCGCCATGTAGATGTAGATTGTCCGGTCAATGATGATAGTGTAGATAGGTCGTTTGATATAGGTGTTAAGGTCGATACATTATCAGCGGGTGTAGACCCTAAGTTGCAACAGCAACAGTCTGACATGTTAAAATGCATGCAGGATATGCTAGGTCAAATGAGCAAGCAGCAGGAACAAATTACGTTCTTGATGCAGTGCATGCTGCGCACACAGGCGGCAGAACAAGCCGGTCCACAGGGGAATAGTCAGTTCCCAGGTCGGTCAGTGATTTGTTATAAGTGTAGAAAGCCGGGTCATTACAAGTCTCAATGTCGTTCCCAGCAAAACTCTGACAGAATTGGAACCCAAAACATGGAATTGGGTCAAGCAGGTGCCACAAAAGCACCTGACAGTCAATCTAAGCCTGCGTTAAACTAAAGGCCTCCACTTCCGTGGGCCGGGTGGTGGAGGAGAGTCACAAGGGGCCTTTGCCGTGTAATGCACTTGTTGGGGAGGGAGCGTTGCCTAAGTTGTCTGCGGACGAATTACTAACAAAGTTAGTTAAAGAAAGCCCTCGAGCTGAGGCTACACTGGCTGGAGTGCCAGCCACGTGTATTCTTGATACAGGCGCAGAGACCTCCCTAATGAGTGAGACATTTTATCAGGAACATTTGGCCGACAAAATAAGGGGTATAAAACCACTGGGTACTTACCTTGAAGTGTTTGGTGTGGGTGGTTTGGAGGTTCCAATCACCGGATATGTAGAAGTACCGCTTACTGTTTTTAACAAAACCGTTGAGGCTAATTTTTTAGTGGTAAAGGATTCCTGCGACGGTGGATTGCTAAATCGTCGGAACAGTCCATTGATTTTGGGGTGTAATGTTCTAGAAATGTTAAAGGATCTTGCTGTAGAACAAGGACAAGGTGACAGTGAAGCTTGGAATGTGACTCTCCAGTGGTATAGGCTTACCAAAGGGCAAAGTAAACAGACTGATAGGGGGACTAAAGATTCAAGTGTTGTAAACCAAGTTGCTGCACGTACTAGTAGACATGAAATAGCCATTCCACCTCGGCAGGTGAAGACCGTTAGTTGTCACATTAGGGCACCAGTTCATGTGTTTAGGAACAAAGTTGTGATGGTGGAAAGTACACAATTCGGTGTACAGTCAGAAGGTGCAACTAGTAGTACATGTAATTTGAGCGCAGCGGCTAAAGTATACGACTCATGTGAACTCACAAACGGAAAAACGGTATCGGTTGTAATTGCAAACTTGGGAACACAATCCATGGTGATACCACCATACTCGAAGCTCGCAACGGTGGTTGAGACTTCAATCTCCGATTGTATCGAGTTGAATCAGACACAATCCGGTGTGAGTGTGTCAGTCAACCATGTACTGGTTGAAAATCCGAGAAACTTGAATGAAGACACATTTAAGTCTGGCTCAGAACAGCAAAGAGAAGAGTTTACCTTCTCAGATGAAAGCAAGTATTTCTTGCCTCCAGGTTTAGATCTTACTGCTTGCAGTTTAAGTAGTAAGGAGAAGGAGCAGCTTGCACGTCTCATACAGAAGCATGACCACGTGTTCTCAAAAGGAGAGTTTGATGTTGGATACTGCGACCGTATCCCTCACAGAATTAACACGGTGGATAACACTCCGGTTAATGAACCTTATAGGAGGATTTCACCTCACTGTATCCAGGAGGTGAAGACCCTCTTGCAAAACTTGTTGGATCAGGGGATCATAAAACGAAGTGAGAGTCCTTATGCAAGTGCGGTCGTGTTGGTGAGAAAACGGGACGGTTCGTTGCGTCTATGCATCGATTTCAGAAAGTTAAACGCGAAGACTGTTCGCGATGCCTTCCCTCTACCGCGCATAGAGGAGTCACTAGAGGCTCTACAGGGTGCTAAGTATTTCTCTGCGATCGACTTAGCTCATGGCTACCATCAGGTTGCCATGGATCCTGGTTCTGTAGAGAAAACAGCATTTCGCATTCCCTTTGGGTTATACGAATTCACACGAATGCCGTTCGGGTTGGCAAATGCGCCAGGGACGTTTCAAAGGGTAATGGAGCAGTGTTTGGGCGACATGAACTTATCAGAGTTGCTGATATATCTAGATGATATATTAGTGTTTTCTTCTACTGTAGAAGAACATTTGGAACGCTTAGACAAGGTTTTCTCTAAGCTTGGAGAGTTCGGCTTGAAAATTAAGGGCAAAAAGTGTTCCTTGTTTCGCAGCGAGGTGCACTATCTCGGGCATGTTGTCAGTGCACAGGGAATCTCGGTCGATAGCGACAAGATACAA